TGTGTGTGTGTGTGGAGAGAGAGAGAGAGAGAGAGAGCAAGCAGATCCCTCCAATTTGATCACTATGGTTGCAAGCCTCCAATTCTCTTATCAATCTGCACAACATAGAGACAAAGAACCATGATTTGAAATAGAAACATCATAAGACATGATGTGCAGTCAAGGAGTTCAGGATATCACTGTATTTGTCAAAAAAAAAAAAAAAGAGTTCATGATATCAGTGTGTGAAACATTTCTTTGGGTAGTTGTCAGTATGTGTACATGCATGTGTGACTCTGTGCATCCTTACGTCCATGCATGAATGCATGTAGTATAAGTGTAAATCAGCCATGTGGTTCTGAAGCTCTACTTTTGCGCCCTATGTTGCAGGTTCCAATCCCATGATTACCAGTAATTAGGGGGGAAAAAACAAAAAAGAAATACTTCAGGACATCTGAAAACTGAGCAGTGGATGTGATGAATGACTGAGTTGTGAACATTTGCAATCAGCAAACAACACATGATACCCAAGTTTGGCAACACATCCACAGAGATGCACACGTGTGTGTGTGTGAGAGAGAGAGAGAAACCTTCCACTACAACTGAGTAACCACCCATGTGCCAATAGTCGATGGTCTCAGAAATAGAAGGCTACTTTACATAAAAGACATCATCATCCTCATCTTCTTGCCAATCTTTGTCTTGAAAAACACTTGCAGATTTGCTCGGTGTTGAGCCCTCATCTTGCTCAGGTGTATCCAAGTCACTTATTTCATCATGAACGTGTGCATTCTGGCTCTCATTTTTCAGCTTATCCAATATTGCAATCACCTAATAGAGATAATACTGCAACATTATAAGGAAGAAAAGGAAAGACGCAAGACAAAAATCAAAAGGGTAGAACGCTTAAAGAGGTTCCTAGTTTCTGACTTGATATATCCAATTTTGTGCTGATTTGAGTTATTTTTTCACATTCTTTACTTTAGGAATGCTCAATTTCTAGACTATAGCATCCACAAGAAATCCTGATTTTAAAAGATTCTTATGTGAAAAAAAAAAACATTGAAAAGACCAATACATATATAAATTTATGAAAACATTTATCTAAAGTTGCAACCTTACTTATAGAAGGCAACAGAAATCTACACTATTCATTTTATTTGGATGACTGCATACATACATACATACATACATAAGTTGCAGTAATCTACAGTATTCATTTTATTTGGATGGTTGCATGCATGCATGCGCGTGAGCGCACACACACACACATTAACGTGAAGTAATAATCTTTATTCTTGTGACAAGTATCCACACACACATACACATATATATTAAGCGCAAAGATGATAATCTTTATTCTTGTGACAAATATCCTTTTTATGGCCAATTTTACCCACATGATTCATAATTTATGCCATATTTGTCCTGTTGTCTCTCCTTAAATCTCTCTTTCGTTCTCCAAAAGTCTCTCTCCCTCACTCTTCCATTCAGACACCTCTCTCATCTTTCCTTAAATTTGTCTTTATTTCACTCCGAAAATTCTCTCTCCTCTCTCAAACTTTTTCTCTCCCATCTCTCATCTCTCTATCTTTAATCTCTTTATGCATGTATGTCTCTCTCTCTCTCTCTCTCTCTCTCTGACACACATACACAATGTCCATCTCATTGATTATTATCAATTAATTAGATAAATTAATATGACAAAAAAAATTATGATAATTGATAAATACTAATCATACTACAACATTAATAGCAGAGTAATATAAAAAAATTTATCAAGAAATTCACTTGTGCTATAATAAACATAAATAAATAATATTAATCACTGTAATAAATAATTTTATAAGTACAATCTAATAATTAAAATATATAGTCCATTATAATAAAAAGATATTAATCACTATATTGAATATAATTATTAGGTATATTAAATACTTTTTGTTATTGTTGAAATACATAATTATCATAGTATATAATAGTAGTGGTAGTAGTAGTAGTGAAAAATAATAATAATAGTTAGTTATAATTATACTATTCAATGATTTAGGTTTAATATCATTTTTTTCCTCAAAAAAAATTGATTTAGGTTTAATATTGTATTATAATTATATAATAATACAATAGCCTATGTAGATCATATAACAAATGTGTCCATAAGTTTTCCCAGTAATAATGCTATCAATAAGTACTCACCTATGGATCAATTGTACCTTAAATATTGCAAGAGATTATTTTAGTTGTCCAATATTAATTTGGTAATACATATAATACATATGCTTTATATTGTGAATAATACTTCTCTTAGTTTATGGAAATATGATAATTACAAGGTAATAGTATTTAATTATTAATATTGTAGTAAAATATTGTTTACTCTATTGCGATCATATTAATTGCAAGGGATAAGCCCAAATGGATGTGGTTGAAAGTAGTCCGAAAAGATATGGGACTTATGGCTTCACTGAGGATATGACCTTTAATAAAGCAGAATAGAGAACCAAGATTCACGTAGCTGACTCCAATTAATTGGGAAAAGGCTAAAATGATAATGATGATGATGATATAATTTTAAAGATAAATAATGAAAATTTTCAATTTTAAATAAGTAATATGATTATTTTGATTCTACTGATTCTTATAATTCATATTTATTATAGTATTCATAACTAAAATAGCTATAAATATTATTAAGAATATATTTGCAATGTTGTACTAAATATTATATTAATCACACACGTAATTAGAATTACATCCAAAGTATAACTATATACTATAGTCATATAAGCATAATTACATATGGAGTTAGAATGTGGCCAAGCCCGCACATGTACAAATGTAGGATTGGCAATAAATATATTTATTAAATATAATTTGATCCTAATTTTTAGAGAATATATAATCTTTAACATGGAGATCATGAATATGAAAAAATAAATAAATTTTAAAAACTAGAAATAATAATTATATTAAGAAAACATTTGGCCCGTTAGTTACAATTGTTTTTAAATGGACCACCTATTTGCATCCCTCTTTAAGATGGATGCCTTATACCTCTAAACCGCATATTGTACAATGAGGTCCAGCCCGCATGAAACAATTGTTCATTACATAAATAAAGACTAATTATGCATTATGTATTATTTTAAAATATCATATAAACAATTTACTCATTTTGCTAACTGTATAATATTCAAACACATAGTATAAAGAGAGAGAAATAAGAACATTTTGTCAATCAATACCTTATTTATGATAATATTTCTATCACATATTATATACCTTTTCAATGGGACCTGTGAAGCAGGTGCATTTTACTAGTGTATATAAATAAATATATATATATATGGAAAAGTCATCCCAACGCTTATAGGCGAAAATGAACAGTGATTTCGCCTACCCTCATCACCGTCCAAAGTTCATTGCATGGTCACGATTGTCCAGTAGTGTCTCATTTTTCATTTTTTTTCTACAAATCGGAATGATTGAAATTTGGAGCATGTGTACATCTTAGTGAGGCACACCTAATAAAAATATAAAAAAAATCCATGAAAAACAAATTGACCAAAATACCCCTGAAACTTTTCGGGGGTATTTTGGTTAACATTTTTTATGTAAAATATGTTTTTGATATTTTTCTTAGATTTGCCTATTTTTGATGAACACACACTCCAAATTTCAAGTCATTCCGATTTGTAGAAAAACAAAATGAAAAAAGAAACACTCCCGGACAATCGTGACCGTACGATGAACTTTGGACAGTGATAAAAGTAGGCGAAATCACTGTTCATTTTTGCCTACAGGCGCTTTGTAGTATCTTCCTATATATATATATATATACCATGAGACCATTTATCACTATTACAAGGAGGTCGCGATCACTCATAGCAATTAGATGTCAGATTGGATGGTTTGGAGTGTCACGAAGTTCGAGAAACAGTTTTTTAATTTTGACTCTAGTCAATAACACATTTACAACTATCAAAAAATCTGACAAACAATAATGATTGTGACCTTGTATTAAGAAGTAAATGTCATTCTGAGCACTTTTAATACACATGCATGCATACACACACACATGGGTTTTTCTAATATTTAACACCACATGAAATCTTATAGGTGATATATAGAAAGGGGTATGAACTGTGTTAAATTTACTTCAATTGCGGCTTTTTTATCCCATTACTATAAAATGAGTAAGGTAGTTTTTGTCATTACAAAAGGTAGTGTTGATATTTACACTAAAAGACAAATGGTATATTTGTCATCTTGAGAGTGGTATATTTGTCATCTTGAGAGTGGCGCATTTGAAATATTTACTAAAAGATAAAGG